TTGTGTGCTAATATAATTTTATGTTAGAGTTACATGTTAAAAAGATTAGTTTGAGTTGAATATACACACGTGTTGACGTGCTGGGCCATATGATTTTGGTTTAAGATTAAAGGAGTTATGGATTTATAAAAATTGATTCTCAAAGAAAAGAAAAGAAAATGTTGGAACGACACATGGGTTTCCAAATGATGTCGCAATGCCACTTTAGTTTGTGAGACTATTATTTTCTCTGTCATTCTAATCAATTGAATTGGGCTGTGCACTTGGACTGGGTCAGCAGCTTGGCCCCTTTTTCATTTTATTCTAACATCAAAGCTTGGGGGAGTTCGAGTCACCCCAAAAGAAAGGTGGGGAGTTTTAGAGGGAGGGAGTCGGGGGTCTATCGAAAACAGTCTTTCTATCCCAGGATAAGGGTAAGGTCTGCGTTAGTGGTGGCAAGTGGGCCAGACCCGGTCCTAAGTAGGCTTCGCGGGCCCGGTCCTATGCGGTCCGGTCCTAAACGGTCCCGGGCTTCGCGGGCTTATTGATGGAACCGGCTCGGGACCGGGACCACGAACTAATGATTCCGGGTTAAGTGGGTCGGTCCCGGGCCTAAACGGACCCAACAGAAACTTTGTGTTTTTTTTTTATTATTGAAGTTTGAGAAATAAATAGTAATAAAGATATATAAGCTATATTCGATTTATATACTATATATACATCTTAAATATATATATATATATATATATACTATATTATATATACATAGTATACATCTTAAAATATACTATATATACATCTTAAGATATACTATATATATTAAGATATACATCTTAATATATATATATATATATCTTAAGATGTATATATAGTATATCTTAAGATGTATACTATCGAATATGACTTATATACTATGTATATATAGTATAGTGTGTGTATATATATATATATATATACACACACTATACTATATATACATCTCTATATATACACACACTATACTATATATACATCTCTATATATACACACACTATACTATATATACATCTCTATATATACACACACTATACTATATATACATCTCTATATATACACACACTATACTATATATACATCTCTATATATACACACACTATACTATATATACATCTCTATATATACACACACTATACTATATATACATCTCTATATATACACACACTATACTATATATACATAGTATATAAGTCATATTCGATAGTATACATCTTAAGATATACTATATATACATCTTAAGATATATATAATATATATAGTAAGATGTATATATATTATAGTATAGTATATACTATATATACAACTTAAGATATATAAGTTATATTCGATATATTCTATTTATATACTATATATACATCTTAAGATATACTATATATACATCTTAAGATATACTATATATACATGTATATCTACTATATATATATTTAGTATATCTAGTATACTATGTATATATAGTATATCTTAATATGTATATATAGTATAGTATAGTGTATATAGTATATCTTAAGATGTATATATAGTATATCTTAAGATGTATATATAGTATAGTATATATAGTATATCTTAAGATGTATATATAGCATAAGCTTATAAATATAAGCTTATATATATATATACTATACTATACTATATTATACTATATGTATAGCTTAAGATATATAAAAGAACAAAAATATTGTGAAGAGATATTCAAATCAATGCGTTATATTTTTATTATAGCATTAAAAATCATGGCAATATCTTTCTTAGTCTTCCTACCCCTATGGAATGAGCACAACAAGGTGCTAATACCACCATTGAGAAGAAAAAGAAACTAATCAAGATGTGCCAAAATACAAGTTACATAGTAATTTATATGGTATCTCTTACAAATTTCATAAATCCTTCAAGGTCCGGAGGAATTTCCGTTGGTGGTGGCGAAAATGAAACTTGCTCATCACCGCTTCCAGGCGAAGTGTAATTAGGGAAAAAATGTAATTATAAAAAGTTTGGGATTAAAACAAAGTTGAGGGGTTAAATGGCTATTTCATAAATAGCCAACGGCTATTTTTGACAGCCCAACGACTATTTTTGACAGCCTAACAGTTTTTTGTTTTTTAAAAAAAATAGCCGTTGGGCCCGCTAAGGGACCGGACCGATTCCGGGCCTAACGGGCCCAAATCATAGGACCGGCCCACGAGATCGGACCAGGCCCGCTAAAACCGGACCAAACGGTCCTGGCCCGTTTAGTCGTTTGGCCCGCGGTCCCGGACCGGTCCCGGTTCTGGACCGACCCACTTGTCAGCCTTAGTCTGCGTACACACTACCATCCCCAGACCCCACTAGTGAGATTATACTGAGTTTTTGTTGTTGTTGTTGTCTAACATCAAAGCTTGCCTAAACTCAAATAATCTCAATAAAAATCAGTTTTTTTTTATTAAAATAACTTTACAATTTAGTCTTCTTAATAATTAATTTAAACGCTAGGCTATTAGTAGACACGCTTTAATTTCACGGACTCATTTTCGTAGCATGATGTATAACATTCAATTAATTCATTAATAGCACATCATATCCAATAGCTTTAATTAATTTCTAATTTAATTAATCCAAAGTTTTAAATTGTGAATTCGTTCGCGTATCGCGATAGTTGATATTTAATAAATTTCAAAATTATTTTCCTCAAATGTAGTAATTTTTTCAAAAGTAATAACGTGCTAATAATTCTTTAATTTGTTATAACTACGGATTCACTTGCGTAACGTTGTTATGACAAAATTAATAAATTTTATCTCGATCACGTATTCGCTTGCGTAGTGTGGTTACGACAACTTATATTATTCAAAATATCATTTAATAATTCTAATAATCATGTTATAAAAGGGAACTTGGGTAAAACATGGAAATCAAATAAAACACAGTTTGTCCCGAATTAATTCAAGCCAAGTTGTAGTCAATAAAGCGACTGTGCTAGAACCACGAGATTCGGAGAGTGCCTCACACCTTCTCCAGGGTCAACAAAATTTCTTACCCGAACTTTATTTTCGCAGACCAATAAAAATAGAGTCAAACCTTCCTTTGACTAGAGATTCAATTAAAAGGTAACTTGGAACACCAAAAATTAATTTCAAGTGGTGATTCTTAACAATAAGATAATCCCTATTTCAAATTGTCACTTTAATTGGAAAAATTCTTTAACCCACACATAATACGTAACATATATATCTCTTGGGGTAAAAATTGGGTATGACACTCATCATTTATAGTTTTCCATATAGTTTTAATCGGTAAGTTATTCTGAATACAACCAAAATTATATTCACTTACGGTTTTAAAATCTTATAATCACAAGTGCATCCGCTCATACCGAGCTCTTGGCAATATTGTTGTCTTAAGGTGGATATATCATTCATTCAAACTACTACATAATTCAAATGGATCTTTCAGGGTTAAATATTTAGTTTTTAACCATTCGATGAGATAATGGCGAAGGAAAGTCATAGCCTTTGTTTTATCCTTACTTGATGCTTCATTTCTTGCACACTAGTATTTTCAGGACCTTTCGTTTCGAGGTGTATTTTCAGCATTAAGGACACATGATAAATAATTCTTTGAAAAAATCAAATACCACAAATTCAAGCTTTAATAAATTCGATATAGTGAAATTGAAACAAAATATGAAAATATAATAATGGAAATGGTTAGAACCTTTATGCTGATAACATGCTATGAAATAAAAATGAGATATCAAAATATAAACTAAAAGAGTAATAGAAAGAAGGAAAATTTCTTATTCTTCTTCTGAGTATATTCCAAATAGGGAATAAGAGGTCCTATTTGTAGGAAAATACATTTAGTTTTACATTTGGTTTCCACCAAATAAATTTAGTTTTCAACTTAGTTTTTCCAACTAAATTGAGAAACTACTTATACATCACAGAGAACAACTATTAGAGTAGGGCATTTCGTCAAGAGTAGTTCGTTTAGCAAGCAGTCTTATTGCTTAAAAGCACACACAATCACAATCGGAGAGTTCGTGTGTGATAAAATAAATATGTTTCAACAATAACAACATACCCAGTCTTATCCCACCCCGTGGGTCTGGAAAAATAAATATATTTCAAAATTTAAAAATTATTAGAATGTGCAAATAAGATTGAATATATATATATATATATATATATATATATATATATATATATATATATATATATATATATGTTAAATTTTCTTTAACTTATTCGTGTGTTCACTTAAAGGTGGATTCATAATTTAAATTTAATGGTTTCAACTTTTAAGATTTTTGGTATTAAACTTATTGTACTGTAAGTTATGATTTAGTTGAATCCATAGCCAAAAGGCTACGAGGGTATTTGGCTAAATTTATAACTTAGTCAAACTGGCTTATAAGCATCTTTTGACTTATCTACGCGTTTGATAAACACTCAAAGTGCTCACGAGCTAAGTACATATAAGCTAAAATCAACCTTTAGTCATAATTTTGTCAATTCCAACTTATGATTTTAAGCTTATAAGCACTTTTAGTTTGACCAAATTTTTTACTAGTTTATCCTTAATAATATTTTATAATTCACAAAATACTTTTTTCCATTTTTTTTTTTAACTTTTCTCTTCATTCCATATTTGTTGTTCACCATTTTATTTAGAAAGAAACTTTTAAATTTATAATATTTTGTAAAGTTTTAGGAGTATTTTAATCATTTTAATTAAAAAAAATAGCTTATCAATTTTTTTTTTATCAAACGCATCAACTGCCTATTATCAATTTCAACACTTCTATCCAAACATATAAATACTTATTTAAAAATTAATTTTCAGCACTTCAAGTTTATTAGATATTTACAATTAGCTAATTCAAACGAACTCTATATTCGACCCTATATTTACTTTTTTATATTATGAAAATCCTAATTCCGTGATATTTTAGACCAAATTGATTTGCTTAAAATGAGGTTGAGGAGCAGACACCAAAAAAAACAGCCGCTTCTCAACTGTCAGGCTCAGAATACTATAAATAGCAACCGCCTTGTGTTTCACTCCGCCCCTCTGCCACCAATTTAATTATTTTCGCTGGTAAAATTAAAGCTTATTTTCCTCCATGTCAAGTTCAAAGGGAAGTCGCAAAGGATCAAAACCAACTCATAATTCTCGTCGCCAATTCAATAATCAAAATTGGGTAATCAAATCTCCTCTCAATCAAAATCCAATTGATCCAATAGAAGTTTCAAAACAAGAATCCATTTCAGAGTTTATTCCAAAAGACCAAAAAAAGCCTCAGAATCACAAAAATTCCAAAAGGGTATCCAAGAATGGGCGTGCTCATGTGGTTAATGGAAACTTCGAGAAGAAAGAGGATGAAGTAGATATTGTAAAACAAGAAAGTGCTAAAGAGGAAGAAAAGAGTGGTGAAAGTGTAGAGAAAGTGAAAGTTGAGGGGCCTGTTTTGTATAATAATGATGTTGATTGTATTTGGAGACGGCTAGAGGAGCTGCAATTGGGTGCTGAGGAGCCCGAGTTATCGGCTGAGCAGCTTAGAATCAATGATCAAGCTCAGGAAGATGAGGTAAAGCCTTATATCCTTATGTTAAAAAAGTTTAAACTTTGATGTCTATCGACTATAAATTTAATATTTTATAATTATTATTACTAAATATGTACGGTAAGTCAAATTAGCCTGTTAAACTCGCACTTAAGGTGTAGCATAATGGTTAATGAAGTGGGAGGAGAACCATAGGTCTCGGGTTCAAATCATGTCCTTTTGCCTAAGTCCGTTACATTGTGCTGGTGGAAAGTAGCAAGTACCCGATAGAGTAGTCGAGGTGCGTGCAAGCTGGTCTGGGTACCACCGTCATAAAAAAACATGTTATACTCCACAAAAGAGGTGCCGTCTTTCACTGCTAGGCCTCTCACGTTGTGGTGTTGGTTTAAGGATTACAATGCAGTGAGAGTAGTATATGATGTGGACATGTCACTATTCGACTCGAAATGAGTGGGTAAAATGAACAAATGGTTGTCGTCTTAAACAAGCCATAGATATTTGTATCGCTATAAATCATCTCATTAAGGGTAAAATGAAAAGTTTAAAATATAAAGAAGATATCGTTTTAGACAGACTAAAAATGAAAGAGTATCACATAAATTGGAACAGAGGGAGTATAAGTTAGATTAGCACGTTAAACTCCGTGTCTAGTCAAATATCTTTCTTGACAACTAGCTTCTCACATTGTGGTATAGGTTTTAGGATTTCAATGCAGTGAAGTCGTATCTGATGTGGAAAAGTTATAATGAACCTTGTCATTGTTCAATTCGAAATGAGTGGAAGATGGTTAAAAAATTGCATCTTGCATTAGCATGTCCTAGGTTTCTTATGGTTGGGCTAGTATATGACAAATAGTTGAAGAATCTTGTGTGAGAGGGAAAATTGTTTCTTTTTCTTTCTCATTTGTAAATATGTTTGTGGAGATATGGCTAATATGAGCTTAACTTGTGTGAGTGTCAGTGTGCCATATTGTGGTGTATTGAGATAATTAATTGTCAAGAAAATACAAAATCCTCTTCTCTGTATCTCCCTCTCCATCTTTATTTTCATTTGCTTATTTAAAGCACATTTGACATTATACATGGTTCTTTGCAGTTACTAGTGCTGGAATCAATTTATGGTGACAATGTATTCATTCTTGATAGACAAAATGGCCTACGATCTTTTCAGGTATTGTAGTGCCTTGATAAACTCATAAACTATGCTTTACTCTGAAAAACCAAAGCTCATTTTGTGCTAATTTGCAGATTCATATACATATTGAAGTTCCTGATGGGCTGACGGTGTTTGTAAATTTAAGTTCCTCTGGTGCTCTAGGAATATCAGAGGATAGTTCACCTGAGTGCTCATACTCCTTCAAAGTTGAGCATTTACCACCAATTGTGTTAACATGTTTATTACCTAAATCATATCCGAGCCATCTTGCTCCTCACTTTACAATCTCTGTCCAGTGGTTGGATTCGGCAAAAATTTCCTCTCTTTGCTCCATGCTTGATTCAATCTGGAAGGAACAATTAGGTCAAGAGGTTATATACCAGTGGGTGGAATGGTTGCATAGCTCTTCTCTTTCTCATTTTCAGTTTGATCAAGAAATAAAGTTAGGTTTTTGTGCCAAGAGTCATATTGGAGATCGCCGAGCAATTTCAGGAACTGTCTCACCAGAGGTTGATATCCCCTCACTCAAGAACTATGACGAGGAACAACGCCATGAGAATTTCCGTAGAAACATTCATCAGTGTTGCATATGTTTCAGCGAATTTCCTGGTATTTTCGAAATCTTGTGCTTTATTTTCTTTATAATAGTATATTGTACAAAGCCCTAATATCCCTGGAATTTAAAAAATAAACTTGAGTCCAAAAGTCAACCGACAAGGTTTCAGTCCAATCATTGATTGGAAGTTGTCTGATCCATCAAGTTAAGGAGGAAGTTTACTTACGATTCCACCTTCTTGGTAACGAGGAGTTTCTTCTTCATGAATGGTATTGAACATTTTGCTGCCTGTTTTGCCACCTTTGGAAGTGGTAACCAGTTAAGACTCCCACGTTTCTCTGATATTTCTATCTCTATAAGGAAGATAAGGTTGTGGATTCATATGCTTATCTTTAATATTCATTGCCCCGTTGTATCTCCTTGGTTGTTGTTTGAGGAAAACAATTAAAACAACATTCTATTATTATCTCTGCTCATTCTGTGGTTTAACTTGATTCTTACAGTTATTCTTCCCATCGTAGGATCCATCCTGTTCTGTGTACGAATGCGTGCATTTTCAGTTTTAGAAAATACGTGAACACACACACAGAGATATACCCGCCTCTTCCCCTTGTGCACATTAGGCGTTAACATATAGGAAATTGGATATCCAATAACCTCTCAAGTGATAAGTGGGTTCTGAAGCTTTTGTTTTTATCAGGTATGGAGTTTGTGAGGCTGCCATGTCAACACTTTTTCTGCTTGAGTTGCATGAAAACTTACTCCGATATACATGTCAAGGAAGGTACAATCAGTAAGCTTCTGTGTCCTGAGGCAAAATGTGGAGGTATGATTCCTCCGGGTTTGCTAAAGCGGTTACTCGGTGAAGTGGAGTTTGAACGTTGGGAATCATTGATGTTACAGAAAACGTTGGAATCAATGTCTGATGTATGCTACTGCCCAAGATGCGAAACAGTATGCATCGAGGATGAAGATGTGCATGCCCAATGTGCAAAATGCTTCTATAGTTTTTGTACATTATGCAAAGAGAAGCGTCATGTCGGAGTTACGTGCATGACACCAGAAATAAAGCTTCGTATTTTGCAGGTATTTGTCTTGTCTTAACTTCATTATGTTCTTCTCCTTACGAAGATTGGCCTGTTTATTACTAAAAAGAAGAGCTTATGTTAAGGATTGTCCTACACATTTTCTTTTACCTCCTCTAGATGTTGGTTAAGTTTCACTATCAACCAATCAATCAACTATGCCTCAACGCAAATTAGCAAGATTCCATTTCGCTCTATTTAGCTCCATTTCATTCGAACACTAAAGAATTTGTCTTTTAAGTAAACTTAGGAGTTTTATAGAATTGGAGGTTCTCTAAGTCACAAACTTATCTCTACAGAGATATACAAATCTCTAATTCGCATAAAAATCTCCTTACACCAAACGGTCCAAACCTAATGTAAGTGTAGTAACAACAACTAAGCCTTAATCCCAACTAGTTGGTATCGCCTGTATGGATTCTTTGCTTTCATAATGTTTTCTCTCTTTGTGGTTTTTAGTGTACATTGTCCCTTTTTATCACCTTCAATCATTGTATTGTCGCGCCTACATAGCAGTGCTTATGGAGGTCTACAAACTAAACCATTTCAATCAACCTTATCTCATTTTATCCTCTATTACTTGCACCGTCTGTGTAATCATTTATAATCTTGTTTAATCAAGGGTAGCTTACATTCAGTAAAATACTTGATATAATCATGAAGCACAATTTTCACGGAAGTACATTCATGTAAAATTATTATTAGGGATTTCCATGTCCTCGATTAATTGATAAAGAATGGAAAGGCCGAAAACGAAAAGGCCTTAATTGTCAACATGGACAATTCCTTTAGATGTTATGTTGTGTTCCCCTCTACGACCTTCCAACGGCCCACAATGCTGAAAATATGATAAGTTAGGTGCCAATTTCCTGTTCTTCCTCCAATAGATCTTGGCCATAGAAAATAGGCACAACAAAGTAGTCTAAAAGGTTAAACCCTAAGGTAGCCTGGTTCATAAACATTTTTACAACGTATTGGAAATACTGTGAGGGTCTTCCCCAGGATTCTAGTACTATAAGGAAGAGCTGATAGGGATCTCCTTCTACACTCTACTATTCCATGTTAATGATATTTGCACTTTGAGACCATCGTTCTTCTATTTCATAACCTATCTATCTGGAGGTTTATATTTAGCTCTTGTCCGTTTTAATCTATTGCATCAGGAGCGACAGAATTCATCTCAACTGAAAGATGACCAAAGGCACCGTGAGAAAGAAATAATCAATGAGATTCTCAGTATGAAGGAAATTCACCGTTCCGCGAAGCAGTGCCCTTCCTGTAAGATGGCTATCTCGCGAACCGAGGGCTGCAATAAGATGGTGTGCGATAACTGTGGAGCATATTTCTGCTATCGTTGTAATCAGGAAATTGAAGGATATGAGCACTTCAGGTTTGGTACAAGTTTAGACTGTAGAATGGCTTCACGTATCGTATGCCCTCTGTCTGTGACCTTGATATTTCATTTATATGCTTAATTTGAGGAGCTTTTTCTTGTTAAAGGGAGGGGAAATGTGAACTTTTTCCACCAGAAGCAATTCAGATGTGGGAAGAGAGGATTAATCATCGCCAAATGGTTGGTCAGATTCAAGCTCAAATCCATGCTAATCATGGTCATCCATGCCCTAATTGTGGCCAAATGAATGCAAAGGTAAGACGGGTTCTCAATGTTTTTTTCTTAAAGCCGTTGTTTCGGACCGCTTCATATTTGAAGTTGAAATGTTAATGCAGAATGAGATTATGAGTGTCTGGCTAATCGCGCCTCTCCTGTTAATTGTCTTGCCTATAACTAGAGATGATTTTAGTTGAGTTCTTTTTCGCCCACGTTTTCCCGATTAGTGTGATGGTCATACCCATAGTCATATTAAATGATTCTCTAACTGTTTTGATGGTCATACCCATAGTTGTCATATTAAATGATTATGTAACCGGTGTTTTGAAGGGGAGTCTTGGAGCAATGGTGAAATTGTCTCCATGTGACCTATAGGTCACGGGTTTGAGCGGTGGAATCAGCTACTGACGCAAGCATCAGGGTAGGCTGGCTACATCATACCCCTTTGGATTTCGGCCCTTCCCCGGACCTTGCGTGAACGCGGGCTCTGGGCTACCCTGCCCTGTAACCGGTGTTTGACTTATAGGAGTAACTAGTTTGTGCGTGTGCTGTGTGCATTGTTGGTAATCATAAAAGTATGTTTACACAACTTGTTTCAGATTTTTATGCTTTCGAAATACTTCACTATATTGGCTTATTTGTCTGGCAATATCCACTTCCAATAGTTGTACCTATTATAAGCTACTCAAACGTAGAGAAAGTTGTGAACTACTTTTTGCTTCATATACTTTTTGTTAATGCAGTTGTTGATTATTCTCTCTGAACCGTGAATTGAGCTTTCAGAGAGATTAAATTCTCCATTTTGTTTATTAGAAGGTGTTTAACATCATCATGGAGAGGATATATGGCTTAGTGTTATGAGAAAAAACATTGAAAGTTATTCTCTCTATGGCGAGCTATTGAAATTAGCATATGAACTTTTATTCTCTCTATAGAGTTTATGTTAGAACTCATAATGTTGTTCATATTCAGTTATTCATTCTTTACTGTATTGTATCTGTCTATAAGTGGGGAAAGGGTGGCACAGTAAGTAATGCAGAAACCTTCTCATCGTCTACTTTCTTACAGTTTTTCCTGCCGTTGAGCAGATATATTCTCTTCATTTTCCTTCTTTCTGTTTAACATAGTAGCTAAGTCGTCCCCGTTTTCCTTTGTTGTCACCCTCACAGGTTGGCAATAACAATCACATATTCTGCTGGGCGTGCCAAAATCATTATTGTTACCTTTGTAGAAAGAATGTAAAACGAAGCTCCCAGCATTATGGACCTAAGGGCTGCAAACAACATACTGCTGAATAGTCCGAAAGAAAATTTCAATTTAAGGGGATTTCTCCCAGAAAATTTCATTGATCTTTGCTCATTGAAGTCCATATTGTTCGTTCGTGCTTAAGGCAGAGGTTGATGGTTATGATCCTAGCTATCACCGAAGGACTCTTCTCCTATGTGATATATATGGCATTTTCACAGCAGTTGTGAGGGGATACAGTAGCGTACGCAGAACTTTGTGCAAGTTCGTTTAGACAAAACTTTGAGGAATAGTAAGGGCGACGCCGACATAACCAGCAGATTTTAACCACTGCTCTTTTTTTTCTTCAAAAAGATAAAAGAGTTTTGCTGAGTTTTAAATTATCTTTGGGGTAGGTTCATATCATTCAGTGTCACAAGTTGTCATTACTCTTTTTTTCCTTTTTGTGGCTTGGCTGTCTTGGAGCAACGGTAAAGTTGTCTCTGTGTGACGTATAGGTCACGGTTCGAACCGCGGAAGCTGATGCCTTATGCACCGGGCCGCATTTTTGTCCTGGCTGTCAAATTTGTCCCAGAGAAATATCTTCAATGTTGTATTGCATACTTATTGGATGGAGAGGGATATGTTTATTTATGTAAACTTGAAAGTGCCAAATTGATACCATTTCATTGAAATATGTGAGCATGGTTTATTTGCTATTGGGCCAATGGAGCTTCTTCATTTAGAAATTGCTTATTACTTGTGATTTAACTTTTATGATTAAAATTTTAAAATATAAAGTGGACGTGTTTGATAAAAAAAATACAACAATTCTACTATTTGCAGCAAAGACTAACAATGAATTTAATTACTATAAGAAGACTAGGGATGTGAAGATAGTTTGTTTGTAACGGGTGTTATTTGTTTTACTACTGCAGTCCTCCTCCGTTGTGTCTGATTTTGATAGTATGAGCAAAACTTTATAATACTAGTATTTGGGTACGTTGGTATCTCGACTTAATTATTCAAATAATCACTCAACTATTGAAAATTACTTAGCAACGTTATGTTACTTTTGTTTGTAAATGAAAAGTCATTTAATTATGCATACTGCACTCATAAAATCACTCGATTAAATTTCTCAAACTTTTGGTGGTCAATTATCTATTTTACCCTCTACATTATTAGGCGTTAAATAAGTTATATATCGTCAATTTGTAAAAGAATTGAAATTGGCGTCTTTTATTAGATAATTCAAACACATAGTTGTTAGTAGTTTTCAACAGAAAGGAGCCCAAAAATTGAATGCGGCTGGTGTCTGGGGATTGAGCGGGTTATTTCCTTTCTAATGATCTTTTATAAAAGAAGTAACGAGAGGAAAGTCTTGACCTTCCCTTGTTCTACCCTTCGAACTCGTAGATTGAAGAAGATCATTTTGCGCAGCGGTACATTCATTTCGATTTCGTTCGGTATGCTTTGAGTTAATTTTAATAGGTTTTTGATGGATTATATAGAAAAATTACACTTCTTCTATATATCGATGAAACAAAAAAAATATATTCAATAAGGTTTACACTTATTTTTAATTAAAAACAAATAGTATATACTAGTAAAAGCATTAATTATAATGTAAAAACACTCTCATCTATAATAATAAACTATAAGCAAAAATAATACTCCCTTGGTTTCAAATTATGTACATATCCTTTTTACTTTTTTTATTTTTTATTTATAACCGTAATATTCGGATCAGCTTGCACGCACTTCGACTAATTCTACGGGATACCTGATACCTCCTACTAGCAACATGTACGAGGTAACTATATGAATAAATGAGAAAAAAATTACCTAGTATTTTTTAAGCTCCGCTAGAATACATAATGATTCTCAACCACTGTATTGATCAAAAGGCCACATTGTTGGACGGTTATGTAGTAATATATCCTTCTTAATTTATTCCAAAAGAATGATATTTTTCAGAATTAAAATAATTTTAACTTTAAATTTTTTATTGTACCTTTAATAAAAAGCTTTTAAACCTCCTCACCTCCCCCCACACAAAAAAATGGGGGTTATCTCTCTCACATTTTCAGCAGCTTCCGATTCCGATTGCAGATGGCACCTCCAGAGATTGATGGCCGAGGGAAAAAAAAGTTGGAAGAGGAGAGCAGTAATGGAGTAGGTTCAAATGTCGCTGATTCCGATTCTGATTCTGATCACGATTATGGTATGTATGTCGATGGTCGCAGTATGTCCCGGAAACTTCGGGAGGAATATAATCGGCAGGTGGATGAGAGCGAGGTGCGTACCCTGCCCTCCTTTCATACTTATACCTGTAGTTCTCGTTCCAANACCATCCTTTTTTTTTTTTTTTTTTTTTTTTGATTTGTCCTTTTTGTTGTTCGTGTATTATGCAAAATAGGGTTTTGATATCAATTTGGATTTGCCATTGGGGGTTCGTATGGTGGCTCCAATTAATCCACAACGGGGTTTCGAGAACATCCCAAGATATACCGAGCTGTCTCGTATGGCCATTGGCGATTTCAATTCACAGAATGTAAGTAAAAATTTCTTATATAATTGCCTTATCCTTGGAGAAAAATGTTATTCTGTCTGTCCCTTTTAATTTGGCTTTCTTCTATTTGTTAGAATAAAAGGTACGAATTTGTCAAAAATTTGACTGTAACACATCACTTGCTGCTGGGTTTTGGTGTCGTATCACCTTTCAAGCCAGAGATGCTGATGATGCTACAACTGATGCTCTAAAGACCTTTCAAACATCGGCGTGGTGGGGAATTAATGGAGACAGACGTATTAGATTTTGCAGGCTTAAGAAACCATCTGTCGGTAAAGGTAAATTTTTTAATATGCTCTTCTCCCTTGTTACTTACAATGCCTATATATGCAATATGATTATGCTAAGTATATACAAACTTGCAATGTTTGTGCCCTCTTAGGATTACCTTGTCCCTAGTGGGGGTTTTTCTTGCACTGACCGGCGTGTTTTTTTTTTGGGGTGTGTGGGGTGGGGTGGGAGGAGGTGAGTGGTGTATGTTTTCTCTAGCATACCACCCATTGATTTATGCATGTGCATTTTTCTACACAACAAATTACAACAACTATTTCACTCCATTTGGATCTGTTATATTCGAATATGCCAAAATTTATTGCTAATATTGTAAAAATTATGTTGCTATTATTGTGTGCGCTTGCCTGCAACATCCAGTACACCAAAAGGATAATTGCTCAAATCTTCATTGTCGGGCCCAACCAACATCATGCATTCTTTCCATATTGTTAAATGAGAGAAGGAATGAAAATAGATGCATTCTGATCTTTAGTTATTTAGCAACAAGGATGTTATCTAATTCACTTTTAAGAGCTTCGCTTCCTTTATAGGCTGCAGTAAGGGTTGGCGCCACATGAGTTTCTGGGTCACCCAAAAAAGTATCAGAAGTCCAATTGGTGATAAGTTTAACAACAAATAATTAACATCTCCATGATCTTTTAGCTCATCAAAGACTAACTTAAGTGAAATTATCCTTGTAGAATATCTTCTATCAAAATGGCTTCCCAAGCAACTGGCATTTTGGACTATTTCGATACTCGTAGTTTGATCTGGCTTAGTGGATATATTTGTTTGGTCGGTACCGGAACTCCCAAAGGCATTTTGAAGTCTTTGGTCTCTTCCCCAATTTTGATGGAGACTTGAGATTCTTGAAAATTCATGTCCATGTGCATAAAAGTCGTGGGTGCAGCTGAGTGTCATGTCTTTGACTGTTGATGGTTCTTTTAGTTGTCTCTGACCTTACCTTGTCTAATTGCACTACAAGAAATGAGGGCTTTTGTGCCAACTAAGTCACTACTGAAGCTCAAAACTTGCCTCGAATGACCTTTAGTGGCGATTTGCATTCGCTATAGTTGAGTAGCTTTTAGTGGCGACTTGTATAATATATATTAGCTGCGACATTGGTCGCCACAAAGAACATTCCTTTTCAGTGGCAGCCCTAGTCGCCACAAATAAACCTCTGTAGCAGCGATCATATGTCGTCACGGGTATTTGTTGGTTTATTGTAGCATACATTTGGTGGCGAGTGTGGTTGCCCCAAATACCAATTTCATTTTAATTAATTTATATCAACTGTATGTTTCTATTAGTTTGCCCAACAATATACCAGCGACCATCACCAATTTGCAGACATTTCTCAATAAGTCTTTTATGAACTTTTCATTGATAAAAGTCATGATATAGAGTACACAACACTTCATAGTATATACACAAAAAAAGAACCGTAAAGATTTCGAGGATCTTATAGACTTAGACTTACTCTCTTTCTTCACATTATGGTCAAATTGATCTGGGGAATTTAGTACTTAAGAATTGTATCTACATTTTTCACTTTACCATAACTATAATGGCCATTGCGAATATTCTTGTTTATGAGAGAATTCACATGATTACACTGATCAATGCTGTTGTGATATGTGTTATTCTTTGTTGTCATTTTTTGTTGTGTTAAGAAATGAATTAGAAAATCCCTTTTAACGGCAATTTTGATGTTGTTCAGGTAGAAACATGACAAGTCTCCCATGAACAACAATTTTTAGGAACACACTTTCCTCATAAATTGAAGGGGAACCTTGGAGCAATGGTAAAGTTATCTCCGTGTGACCTGTACATCACGGTCCGAGCCGTGGAAGCAGCCACTAATGCTTGCATTAGGGTAGGCTATCTACATCACACCCCATGGGATACGACTCTTCCCTGGATCCTACGTGAATGCGGGATACTTTGTGTATCGGTCTGCCTTTTTTTTAAAAAACTCTTTCCTCATAACATTTCCCTATCTTTGCTATAAATATATGTATTTCTATTTGTCTTTTGCCTGAAATTTCTCATTTTATTATGAGTTTGAGGTTGTCCTTGCCATAAACTATTTTTTTCATTTTCATCATGATTATACCCTCCTGGAACCAAATGAAAGATCTCTACTTTCTTTTTTTTCCTTCTTGATGATGCCAAGGTTCTTTACTACTGAAGAAAAGAAACAATTCATTTAAGAGTAGAACTAAGAGAATGTGTAGCTTTTCTCTTCCCATCTCATTTTCTCTTTTCTTCCAAAAATGATTTTGAACTCATTCAGTTTTCGTGGTTTTCTAACCTAGGCAATCTGATGTTATAAATTTCTCAAAGAGTGCATGATTCATTGCAAGAGCTTCTTGCATTAGTGAAACGATTCCAGCTTAACTGGAAACAAGGACCAAACGAAGGGACTAGGTCACCCCAATTGCCTATCTGTGGTGGCTTTCAGCAGGTCACCACGAAAATTTTCCATGCCTAATATTTCAAAATATTTCATTTTCAGTGGACAAAAATTTAGCCTATAGTCTCGATTACATGTGGCGACTTTTCAGGTCTAAAATCTTTACTTGTCATGCAACTATATATCGCCACGAAAAACCCTTGATTTTGTGGCGACTTCGTGGGTCATAACTAAAAGTCTGTTTTCTCGTAGTATATTTAGGTTCCTTTGGAAAATTCGTTAGTAGGACATAAGTCTTGTTTCACATCGAAATAATGTTATACCTAAAACATTCAACTCCCTTGTCGTTGCAACTTGTCTATCTCGATCGCAAGGTCTGCATTTTCTGGTCAAGCCTTCAAGGTGTTTGCTTTGTGCAGGTTGGAACTTCCAAATTGTTTTATATACAGACAAATGATGAGAAAATTGATGCTTTAAATTTATTTTGTGTCTGTCCTGCTCTGCTTTTCTTAGTTGTAATTATCATTTTATTTTTGGCAGGTGGTGAGCGACCTCCTGATTCCAATGTTGATGTGAAAGCTACGCAGTGAACTAGTCATCTCTTTAAACTCTTGTTATTGTTCTACTATCTTAATTATTATTGAGAATGTAGTGTCATTTAGTTGTGTTATTTAGTTGTGTTATTTAGTTGTGTTATTACTAAGACATGAAAAAAAAACTGTTGTGATTTGTCTTCTACGCTCGTTTTCTTTAAGAACGTAGGGTTATCTGCGTTTTATTACCAAGACAAGGAAAAATGTCTTCTGGTGTTAATGAATTCTGGTTATGTTTTACGATGAAGCTTTTATTAGAGTAACTTGGTGTTGAGAAATCCTGTCTAATTCATCAGGAAAAGAATATAACAGCTCAATCGTTTTTACTTTTCAAATATTGTACACTTTCCGTTTCATTTTACATGTTACTATTTTACATCTTTTTTATGTACTTTATGTGTAAATGAATGTTACTGATCTATCCGGAACTTCAAAATTTTCAAGCAAGAACATATTGGATCGAGCATATATAAAACTTAAAAGGTGAAAGTTCTCAGCCTTTTAATGACTTTGTTTTGTTAAATGCAGCTATATTTAATCTACAAAACTGAGAAGTTTTCACATTTACATAACTTATAGCCCGTGAATGCCGAAAGGAGGGAAAAGAAAGGCTTGCTAGAATAATCTCGTTATTGGGTTATATTCACGCAGACATACTGGTTAATTGCTAAATAGCAACCTTCTAAAATAACTACTTGGTGTCATTTCTACATGAATTTAATGACTTGGGGAGTATTCCCATTTCAGTTACAAAATTTAATATTTTAGAACATAAGTATAGTTCTCGGCTGGATTACTTTTATTTAGCAGAAGCTTTTATGATATGTTAATATTTAATTGCCAAAAATGTTAATTAATGAATCCCGCTAAGATTTTGTAAATTTTTTGTAAATATTGCATTGTTATGTTTTTTCCCTATATCTAGGTGTTTTGTATCCGCATTGTGGCCTAGCCAAATTTGGATTCGTGTCGAGAAATAGCATATTGGGGTAAGCCGAAGTTGAGACCTCTGGTTAAGAATAATTTTTTTGGTTAACTGAATGATTATATATATATACACCAACTAAGATAAAACAGTATCACTGTTTTCAGGGGGTATGAGATTGCCCCTGGGATGTGATCAAGAGTATTAATATTACAATCCAAAATTCTTCTAGGAAAAACAGTTCCTGAGATGTCTGCCCAAAAAGCTTGATTTGCAAACACCGGAGGAACTGTCACATATCTTGTACTGCCAAAAAAATCTTTGCTTGCACCCTCATTGGCCATCAAATCAGCTACTTTGTTCGTCTCCTTGTAGCTGTGCTTCACCACCACATCTCCTAGTCTTAGGATGATTGACCTGCATTAAAAAATGATTGAGTCAAAGATATGGTTACCTGAGTTAAGCATTCTTATTACCTCAGTCGAGTCTGTGTTGATTTCAAGCGGTGTGAATCCTCTTTGACCAGCAATCTGCAATCCCTTTAGAACAACAAGAAGTTTAGCTTGTGTATTTGTGGTGTGGGGCAGACTTTCCATGAATCCCAGAACCCAGTTGCCGCTGGAGTTTCTGAAAACTCCTCTCACACCCCCCTTCCCAGGATTCCCAACAACTGCCCCATCAGTGTTTAGCTTGTAATGGTCTCTTGATAGGGGAACCCATTTTGCCCAGATGATCTTTTCTTTTATGGGTGATTGGTTTACTGAGATAGTGACATACTCAGTTGCCNTGCCAGAATGATTTAGCATTAGGTCACTCGAAGAAGATGTGGGTAGAGGTCTCAAGAGCATCACTGCAAAATAACACATTGAGTTACAGTGAACCCCAATATTGTGGAGGTAGGCCCCTGTGGGAAGCCTTTCATGGCATAGGAGCCATATGAAGGTTTTGATTTTATTAGGGGCTTTTAGTTTCCAGATCCACATGTAACTATTGTTATCCTCTTTCATCTTCTGGGGGGCTATATTGTCAATGAGTGTATAGGCTGATTTGGTGTTGAAGAGGCCAATACTGGTGTTGCCCCAGATCATCTTGTTCTCTTTTATGGGATTGGGTAGAATGAAAGTAGTTAAGAGGAAATGGAGGAGGTATCCCAAGCCCCATTGTTACTGTGGCTGAAAGATCAGCTTGAGTGAGGGGACCTTCTACCATGGTCCTAATTAGTAGGTGGTTGGGGATCCATAAGTCATTGATGAAGCTGACTCTATCTCCTTTGAGCACCACTCATCTACTGGTTTGCCTACATGTTTCCCAACCTTTGAGAATGCACTGCCAAATAGAGGATTTTACTTTTTTTTGGGGGGGGGGGGGGTTCTATCCTTTAGTTGTTACCTGTTTAGGTTTATTCGTTCCTCGA